AACGAGTGGCACGGGGTGGAGATAACTATTTTTTTATAGTGCCAGGAACCTAGCATAATGAGTAAAATACAAAGAATAACTATTCTTGTGACAAAGTAAAAAATTGCAACAATTTGTTTCTGAGGTAGGTATTAGAGATGCACCAAATTTGCAATTTCATTACCCGCCCCGCCCCGCAGCTACCCCTTGCCCAACCACAACTACCCGCAAGCTGATTTTGGCTGAGCCGAACCCGCAAAAAACCCGCAATTTTAAAAACCTGCTTTTGCAAGGAAAAAATACAGCTGGTTCAATGCTAGAGCTATATAAACCTTACTTGCTTCATTGTTGTGCAGAAAAAGACAGCCAAACAAATAGAAAGGACTTGAAATTGCTATGCTAAGTCCTCAGGAAGTGCACACTGGATAATGGAAAACGAATAATGCATCAATACATTTGAAATTCCTTTCTGAAAAGAATTCAGTAAAATCTTTCTCTCACCTTACTGTTACCCTTCAGCATTGGCTGAGGATCAAAATTTCACTCTGGTTCCTCTCAATGTTAGGCTTCTGGAATGATACTGTTATCAAAATGAATGTTGATATAAAATTAAAAAGATATGCGATTTCCAATTAAAAATAAATAGTGACACGGTGAATAATGCGTATCCAGTCGATCTACACATAAAACAAATCATGCAAAAGTCCAGCAAAAATCAACTTACCAATGAACCACGCATTTTTGGAAACATGCGTCAGAAGCGTCACCAACAGCTGATTGCAAGGAATGTTACAGCGACTAAACTATTGCAGCCGTAGTTAGTGCGAACTTGATGCGAAAACACCGTTGTATAATGCATATTAATGTGCCATTCTGATAATATTATTTTACACAACAGCTAAAGTTTTACAATTCAGAGGTTAATCACCGGTTAGGAAATAAAGAGACAGTAAATACTAAATAAAATTTGATTGTAAAATTATTATTGCGTCATCAATGACAGCTTTCCTTCGCCTCAGAGACCAAAATTGACGCAGTCAAATGCCCATCCTTGTCAGAATGTCGAAAGTGCGCCAGTATTGTATTGCGTTATGTTTGGGCCGCATGCCAGTCAATATTTTGATTTTTTGTAAGGGTAATTGCAGGTAATTGGTGTGTTAGTTTCGTAATATAGGGTGGGACAGAACATAGAGTAGGATAGGTAATCAATGAATTTGCATCAAATTTTGTTTAGCTCTTTTTTATGCCGACCAGACGCAAATAAAGTAACATGTGGCATTTGCTCTGATTTTCAACATCAACATCTCATTTTAGTCTGGGTTCTTCCATAATGCATATCTAGTGCACACTGCACATAGACTTCAGTTCAGCTTCCTATAAGTTTGCTTTCAGGTTCTTTTATGTTTTATGGAATGCTTTCATCAGCATTTATTTATGCTTTGTAGTTTGTTGTTTGTACCCTGGTTTGGTCATTGGTAACCGCAGGTTGTTTGAAAAGACAAACACTATTCGTTAGAATTGTGTTTTTCTATTGAAAAACAACCGGAGCGGTCGTTCTCCGGGCTATGTTTGCAAAGTTGGCCTGAGATTGTAGACTGTGGATGCTATTGCTGGTTGTTTTCAGTTTTGCATTTGAAATGTGCTTCCTAGATATATTTTTATATTTGGTTCTGTTTTAAAAGTTGTTTTGATGAATATTGTATTGTTAACCTGAGCAAATGCACTTCGCATTGTGTTCTGCATCTAAAAAAAAAAAAAAAATTATAGGTTCTCAAGTCTGACCGCCAAATACCCGCCACACGACAAGTTTTGCTTCTCGAACCCGCCAAAAACCCTGCGGGTTTTGAAAACCCGCAGAAAGCGGGTTTGCGGGTTCAAAAAGGGCATCTCTAGTAGGTATGTACTTTGTTATGTAACAAATCGATGTTAAAGCCATTAATTAAGAGGGAAAAACGAGACGAGCATAGAGTGTTAGATCAAAAACGATTAGCATGATTTAGCATAGAGAATCACAAACAAAATATTAATAGACATACGGATAGCATGCTCATTGTCTCGTTTGTTTCAAGTGAGTTCGGCACACCTAGTGTAAAAGCAATAGGTAAAAGGTAAAGGTTACCTAGTATGGAAATGAACGATGGAGTCTTGCATTCGTAAACGTTAGGTATATGAAGCGAGCATTCGGCAGAATGCCATGGTTCTTTCAAAGCATGCCTAACATTGGACTGCTCAATGGAGACCGCAATACCCATGGACATGCACTGTTGACGCTCATATCGAGTTCATGTGTTGTAAATAATAAATATGTAAACTTGTGTATCTGTGTGTCGCTTTTTGAATTTGTTTAGGAAGGATGGTTCGAAAAAAATGTGCATTTTGCAGTTAGCGGTATCTATAATGTACAAATACGAAAGAAGATATGGACAAGGTCGCCACTCTCTGGGCTAAAATAAAATCAGGAGCTTAGTTTCCATTTAAAATGACACAAGCGTCTGAGCAATTAAAAGTTATCGTCGCAATTACAAGATAAAAAATCAAATATCGGTACATCACCGGTGATGACTCGGAGGTAGTCCGTTTGGCATCCCGCGATGGAGAGAGCGACCGTGCATAGCTGCACAAACTGCTTCCACTTTCCACGTAAATTTTAGCTCGCATTTCACAAAATTATAACACTCCTGTCAAATGTCATTGTTTCTGTATCAATGCAAATTGTAGTTCCTTACGGAAACACGCTGACGCACTAACAACGTTCCACTCCACTTCACAATCGGTCTACGCTTCACAAAATAACACTGCCAAGGTCAATACCACCTCGCACTTGCCAACGAACCGACCTAACATTCACCGCTCACGAATCACTCACAACCAACCCACCAGTCCATTCACTTTACTACAGGGACGTCCCCATAGCAACACGCGCGCCTTTCCTAACCGAGAAGCAGACAGCTGACCGCGCGTGGTCAGCCGAGCTGAGTTCTGATTGGAGGAGCGCGTGACCCAGCCGTGACCGTCGCTGGGACGTGCCCTTAGCAACAGCTCAAGCTAGAGGTAAAGCGGCAGGAGGCTTCGGAACTAAAACGCGCCCATTCTCGTGAGCATGACAAGGACATTTCAACGTTATCTAATACCTACATCTGTCAACTCACAAGGGAATGAAAGATACCTATGCTTCACCAGAGCAGGGACGAGAGACAAATCGAAGATTTTTAGCTCGAAGATTCTAGACATTTTACGAAGCTAAGCTTGAACATAGATTTTGTCAACAAAAATGCATGGATAAACATGTCCGTAGTGGTTGCTGAGTCAGAAGTAATCGCTCCGTCTTCCGTATACACTATACAGCACAAAGTCGGACTATAGATGTCGGGCCACAGCGACTTTAGCACCGAGCGACAAGCGGCGACCATCCAGAGGGCGCTCTAAGCGCCTATCCTTCCCTTCCAAACGGTAAACGAGTGCGACTGTAACAGCTGAAAGCTGTGACATTTTGTTTTATACCTACCCCAAAATCGTATTCTTCCATACATATAATGCGTAGCCAATTCTCATAACATTTCGCCTGCTGGAACGTCCAGGTCAGGAAAGCGACCGGGTCACACGTCTGCCGTCCAGCTGCTCCCGCCGACCGGCAGACAGCGCAAGACCAAAGGCTCGCCGAAGGGTGGAGTACAATGCAACTCCACCCCATTTGATGCAAAGCATGAAATGGATTGATTACATCAGTTTCATATAGGTATCTATTAGGTCGTTCAATAAGTAACAGTCAATGGTCATATTATGCTGCGTACCCATAAAGAAAAATCCTTCCAAAAATGGAAGGCTTCAAAAAATGGAAGATTTGACCACAGTTTCCCCGACTGATCTGACCTTTGAGTGACCTATTAATCGATCAAAAATTGCATGATGCATACGTTGAAGGGGTAATGTCTTCATATTGATGTGTTTACAATAATTTCTCTGAAAAAAAACACGTAATAACTTATAACAGGGCCCAGGGGACTTTTGACGATTTTTGCCATTTGACTTTTGTATCTTTGACTTTTTTGCCATTCTACTTTTATCTCTTTGACTTTTTGTTGGTTTGACTTTTTACTTTTGACTTTTTACGTTTTGACTTTTATCCATTTTGACTTTTTATGTTTTGACTTTTATCTGTTTTGACTTTTCCGTATTTGACTTTTTGCTTTTGACTTTTATCCTTTTTGACTTTTTCACATTTGACTTTTCTCCTTTTTGCCATTTTGACTTTTTACTTTTTGACTTTTTAATTTTGACTTTTATACATTTTGACTTTCTTCCATTTGACTTTTATCCCTTTTGACTTTTTGCATTTGACTTTTTGTCTGTTGACTTTTTGTCTTTTGACTTTTTATCATTTGACTTTTTGTCATTTGACTTTTTGTCCGGTTACCAGCTTCCAGACCCCCTGGGGGCAGCACACGACCGACAGCACGCTGGCTGCTGCTGGGACTTGTGGGAGGTTTTTGGATACAAATGCAGTCGGTGACTACTGATTTTACAGCTGGTAACGCTGGCAGCTGTGAGCTGCATTAAAAATAACTTAGACACTTCGCTGATGATTTCTGACTTTTCGAATGCCACTTATGTAGGTATGTTGCTTGTCGCTGCGTTGAAATGGGGCCGGGTAAGACGTAGCCCCCAGTATAGCGTGAAATCCAGGAGCTCCCGAGAAGTGCAAATGAATGGATGAATGAATGAGTCAATGAATGAAAGAATAAATGAAGTAATAAATGAATGAATTAATTAATTAATCAACGATCAGATGAATGTATGAATGAGTAAATGCAATACTGAATCAGTGAACATGATAAAAGTTTTATACTTAGGTCGATAGTCGATCCCTACATCACCTGCCTCTTTCCGTGAACATCGGAAACGGCTGTTTATTTCCGAACCCACCCCGACCGGCTTCCGCTGGGCGTGACATCATTTCACGGTCGCCGCCGCCGCCCCCGCCGCCGCCGCCGCCGCCGCCCAGCCGCCGCGCCGGTCGCTTC